CTAAAACATAAAACACAATGATATATGTTCTTTGTTGACATCACCATGGAATAAGGAATGTGTGTGGAACTTCTGTACATGTGTTTGCGATTTTTGGTATAAACATTAATCAAGAGCGCAGTAACTACACACTCTGGACCACGTGTGTACAGAGACCAGATACATGTAATCATATCGCAAAAAGATCTGGGTTGGAATTGCCCTTCCCAGATCAGTTGGGCGGGCGCACATGTTATCGCATACCAAGTCGGTAGATCAAGGCTCATGATGTCAACCGACGAATTGTCTGAATCGACTCCATTATTTACAGACGATAGTTATATAGCCGGAATATTGGTGGGTGTGGAGTTCAAACAAACGAAACAAAGAAATCACTAGCTCAGATCGATGTCTGTGTTCCAGACTCGTACAGACAGTCCTTGCCGAGTACGGCATTATTCAAAACACAAATAAAACATGTATAGAACATTGTATTGGTGAGCTTGCTGTTGATTACTCGAAAAGAGTGAGTGAGTTTGGTTTTACGCCGCTTTTAACAATATTCCAGCAATATCACTCCGGGGAACACCAGGAATGGGCTTCACACATTGTGTCCAAGTGGGAATCGAACCCGAGTCTTCGAACGCTTTAACCATCAGGCTACCCCCTAGGTATCTACTCAAAGATTATACGTTTAGTCACTAACCTCAGTAACTGTTGATAACATGTAAAGATTTACACGTGATTACATGTACATGAATGAACGCAGTAAACCAATTTCCATTATCATTATGATAAACGCGACTAAATCGTTTCAAGAGTCGTTTTGAAAGGTGTACTAAGGATCAGAGTAAGGTAACATTGCTCAGACAGCTATGGTGGTATGCTGTATTTACCAAGTCCTTATACAGCGTAACAAAGTTTTTATAATAAACATGTGAATCTTTTAATATGTGTGTCATATCATGATGAGATATACAATCTCATTAAATAACCCAAGTGTAATCATTTTATCAATAATTTTATATTCAACATTTTATATCACACCTTTAGCCCTTCTAAACATCAATCTAATCTTAAATGTAATCTATTTCAGCAATACTCATTTGCACTGCATGCTTTTCTCCCTGCAATCCCTTCTAAAGCTTGTCCCTTGCTCAGGCTAGTGTTTAATTTCTATTGTTCTCTGTTCAGCCAAGCGTATAAGGTATAAGGTATTAGGTATTTAAAGGTTAATTTCATCTAGTCTCTTGGTCAGTATCTTATGTGGTTGTCATCGCGCATGTTGCGGTTTAGTCTTTAGGATCAAGATCATGGTGATCTGGACTGTGTTTTTCCATGTATATAAGATGACGTAAACACCAGCAGTATCAGCTATGCATTGAATGCAGGAGCTCAGGTCATACCAACCTGGCTAAAGCTTTTGTTTATTACATTCTTGTAATAAAAGTCCATCCGCCTCACACCCCAGTGGCTTTGTGGTTCTTGTCACTACAATAACTACATCCTGACGCTGCTACATTTTGGAGCCCCCAGTGAGGATACATGGACAGGACACCGCCATAGAAGATCGGCCTACGTCAGCCACAGCAGATACAGCTACGACTACGATAGCCATAGACAAAGACGACAACGCCCATAACGTATTATCATCGTTCGGTGAATAGACTCTGAGATTGTTTTCATGTTGACGTGTGTGTATACGCATCATGGTGTGTGACCTCAACATATGGACACTTGTGTGACCTCAACATATGGACACTTGTGTGACCTCAACATATGGACACTTGTGTGACCTCAACATATGGACACTTGTGTGACCTTAACATATGGACACTTGTGTGACCTTGACCTCCCTGTGAAGTTCGGCCAGCTGCAGTTAATGTGATTTCATGCTATCCATGTATTGAATATTATTTCTGCATTTGTATATGATGATGCCTTAATTTCATTAACTTGTGGGTACCCCTTTAGTTTATTGCTCCGGAGCTAGTATATTATGTAATTTAAGTGTTTATATTCTACTGTGAATTTGTTTGTGTTGTCTTCAGTTAAGCATTAGTTAAGATTAGTTACTTTATTTAGTTGCATAAATTAATTATTAGTATCAGTTACACATCTGCTCTATACAACCAAGATGTGTTTGTGTGTGTGAGTGTGTATTAGTTAGTGTTAGGTAATTAGTAATACTTTAGTAATCGGTAATTAGTTTAGTTTAGTTTAGTTTAGTTTACTTTAAGTTCCATATCTTAATAAACCTGTAGGTTTAGTTTGTTTTAGTTGGTTGTGTTCATAGTTTAGTGTTTTAGTATGTAGGTTCTCTTTGTGGTTTAGTTGTAGGGTTTTCTTTGCGTTCATTTATCCCTTTGGTTATTTTGTTCAGGTAATTAAGGGTTGTATTTCATTGTTCGCTTCTCATATCTTCATTTCATATTGCTTGGTGCTATTCTCTCTTTATGTAGCGTATCATATTTATAAGCCCCTGCGCGCGTACACCTGCACTTTACTTACCTGCATTAGTTTATTATCTAAACACAAATTAAAGGTAACTCTAAACATGTAATTTATTTAAACTTATATTCGTTAAGGGTAAACTCCCATACCATTTACGTAAATCAATGTAAACATTCATTAAATCCTACATCTAACGTATTCTCGCGTGCTTCACTGTGTGCTTTGAAATCTGTTTTGTTACAAATTCTTCACGGATTTACAGTCACCAGTGTCGCGTGTTGTGTATTTCTCGCGGATTTCGTGTTTCATCTACTCATCAAGTTTTCTAGGTCGTGTATTACTCAGTTGTATATTCATATTTATTCTCCAACATGGCTGAAGCGGAAATGTCAGAAGAGGAGGTCAAACAACTTGTTTTGTCACTGAAGAAGTTGGATTTGAAACCCAAAGCTGATACACCTCAGGATCTCTTAGCGTGGATCTCATCAGTTAGCAAGTCGACTCAGGAACATAAACCCTCTATTCCACCCACAGTTACACTAGCTAAGACGCCACAGCTTCCATACTTCTCGGGAGACAGGAAAGGAGACGTCGACTTCGACCAGTGGAAACATGAATACACATGTCTCTGTACAAGATATTCGGAGCAAGATGTCATGGACGCCGTACACAAATCACTTCGTGGGAAGGCAGCAAGAGTCGCCATGCACATTGATAAGGATGCTCCATTGGACTCTCTCATCACCAAGCTGGACAGTGTCTTCGGGATGGTGCACACAGAACACAACATCATGGCCGAGTTCTATACTGCCAGATCATGGTGATCTTGATCCTAAAGACTAAACCGCAACATGCGCGATGACAACCACATAAGATACTGACCAAGAGACTAGATGAAATTAACCTTTAAATACCTAATACCTTATACGCTTGGCTGAACAGAGAACAATAGAAATTAAACACTAGCCTGAGCAAGGGACAAGCTTTAGAAGGGATTGCAGGGAGAAAAGCATGCAGTGCAAATGAGTATTGCTGAAATAGATTACATTTAAGATTAGATTGATGTTTAGAAGGGCTAAAGGTGTGATATAAAATGTTGAATATAAAATTATTGATAAAATGATTACACTTGGGTTAATTAATGAGATTGTATATCTCATCATGATATGACACACATATTAAAAGATTCACATGTTTATTATATGTACAACTATATACAATACAAAGTTGAATCTGCCACATACTTCCCCCTCCACACAAATGACGTCCTCGTCATTTACTTGAGTGAAGAAGGTTCACAACAAACTGTGACATAGCACCACCAAATTGCTCGAACACACCTGCTGAGGCCAAGCGCTCTACTAGGTCAGATCTATCGTCCCAGTCGTTGATTGTCGTCTGGCTCATGACGTAATCCCCTGAGCGCTGCCATTCCGGTGGTCTCCTCTCACGACGTGAAGTCCTTGGTGGTGGTTTAGGTGTAGGTCTGGTTCGGACTGGAGGCGAGTCAGGAGTTCTGGCTTCTCCTGCTAGGTCCTCTGGATTCGGCTCTAACTGAAGTTCTGCTTCATCCTCAAGCATTTCTTCCTTGACAGATACATCCTCTGTGCTGGGATCGTCACTGGTCCCCGGCTGATGGCCGTCACCATCAGAAGATGCGCTGCCCATCTCCTCAGTCTTCAGATCGTCACCATCCAACTGGGAGATGGAATCCTCTTCCATAGATTGTGCGCTGACAACTGTGGAATCATCAGGCTCTGTAGGAAGTTCTACTAGAAGGCTTGAAATTGACCTTATTTCGTCCTCCTCCGACACATTAGTTTCCGTTGGTTCTGTGACTGTCCTGGCCGACCTTTTTCTTGGCTTTGGTTTAGGTGGTACAGGCTTGGTCTTCTGAGAGTCGTCTGGCAAAGATCCGATGGGTAGAAGCAGGTTCCGGTGTAGGGTCCGAGACCTTCCTTCCCCTCGTTCTTTCTTCACAACAAACACCGGGATGTCCGTGTTAGGCTGAGAAACAACGATGTACGGCTCCTCTTCCCACTTATCAGAAAGTTTGTGCTTGCCATCGAAAGCTAGGATCTTCACCAGAACATGCTCTCCAGGCTGTAATGTAGCTCCCCTGACCTTGACATCATAACCTGCCTTCTGATGCTCCTGGGAATCCTTAGATGCTCTGGTTGCAATTTTGTAGGACTCCTCCAGTCTTGTCCTTAGAGCCTGAACGTAGGAGGTCAAACTGTTATGTTCCATGTTTAGCTCTATTCCGAAGGCAAGATCAATTGGTAGTCTGGGTTCCCTTCCGAACATGAGATAGAAAGGGGAGTAGCCCGTGGACTCATGTCTTGTGGCATTGTAGGCATGGACGAGAGGTGCAACAAATGATTTCCAGTCTTGTTTCTGTTCTGGCTTGAGGGTTCCCAACATGTTGAGCAAGGTTCTGTTGTAACGCTCGGTCATGCCGTTCCCCATAGGATGGTAGGGAGTAGTCCTTGATTGGGCGATTCCGAGTGTAGCACAGAGCTCTTTCATCATCCTGCTCATGAAGTTGGCTCCTTGGTCACTGTGGA